GGGAGGGGTGGGAGAGGCTGAGCGACTACGCTACATCAGCTGCTTGTTGTTTTCGAAGGGAATGCTGGTAAGCGTTGCTGAAGGGGTGTGTCGGGGTGCTGTGTTGGTGATGCGGCGGTCTGTATCTTGCAGGAACAAACATGAAATGCGGCTCTGGTTGCGTGTGGTTCAGTTCACATTTATTTTCGTAGGGCGTTGCGGCTGCTGCCGCTGCTGCTGCTGGTTCGAGAGCTGAACAATGACCGAACGACCGCGCGCGGTGTAGTACGGGTGAGGTATTCGATCGGCGGCTGTTTGTGGGCGTGCAAAGCGAAGCACCTCAACGTGTTTTCGGATCCCTGCGCATCATCGCACGGCATGACTTTGTTCGGCAAATTGTTTTCGACAAAATTGTTTCGGTGAATATTTTTCAACATGCATCTTTGGTTGCGTGATGCGTGGAGTGGGGTGGCACACGGCGGTGAATGCCNTGGCTGTAGGTGGGCGTGCAAAGCGAAGCACTTGAACGAGTTTTCGGATCCCTGCGCATCATCGCACGGCATGACTTTGCTTGGCAAATTGTTTTCGACAAAATTGTTTCGGTGAATATTTTTCAACATGCATCTTTGGTTGCGTGTTGCGTGGAGTGGGGTGGCACACGGCGGTGAATGCCAATAAGAGGCTGAGCAGAAAATACCCCTCTCCAGCGCGCATGCGGATGGTGACCAGCGATCATCCTTGCGTGCTGAACTCCAAAATTGTGCGTTTTTGTACGTTGTGCTTTGGCAATCCGCAACAAAGAAAACCATACAGCCTGTGTTGCTCAGTCTGCGGCTGCCGGCTGAGGTATGTCTTCCTTGCACCGTCCACCCCTTGTTGCTGTTGCAGCATGTGGTATTGTTATATCTGACCGAAAAAAGAGTTAGTCGAGGAGGTGTTGGAGGAGAAGGAGGAGGACGACGACGATTATTCCCCTACCTCGCCCACACAACACCATAGTCGAGACAGGCGAGTTGGCCAAGTAGCCCGGGAAAATAGGAGCACGCAGTGTCGTTTGGCAGTGGCGGAATCGTAATTCTTGACAACTGTATCCTATCAAGACCGAATTACATACGGCTTGGAGGTTTCGTCAGGCAGGTTTGGAGGTTACGTGTAGAGCGTTTGGAGGTTTCGCCGGGCAGGTTTGGAGGTCTCATTTACATTTTAAAGGTTTGGAGGTTGAGACAGGTAGTTCTTGAACGCAGCAGACGCACGTGCGCGTGTGGGTGATCTGCGTGAAATTCCGCGCTTGTGTGGTTCGGCGGGCTGTTCGATTCCTACCTCCTAGCCAACACCACCATTTCCACGGAGCCTGCAAGCACGACCACCGTCCCTGCCACATCATCACTACCAAACAGCCTCTGAAAAACAATGCTTGTCGACTTACGGCACGCTCAACATTATCTCTTCTTGATTCGCGGCACCTTTGAACAGGCACAGCTCACGCGGCTGGAGCAAGAGCTGCAGCATCTCCGAGAGCGTGAAGGCAGCGGCCTCTCACCCTCCGCAGCAACCACCGCCGAAGCAACACCGTCGGCAGCGGGACCCCCTGCTCCGGACGGAGTTGGAGGAGGAGGAGGCGTCAGCCACGCCGAGGCGGTTGATGCGGAGCTTACCGAGCTGACGCGCGTGAACTCGCAGCTGCGGGGGGAGCTGGTAGCCCGGTCGTCGGCGTGGAGGGAGGAGAAGGTGAGAGCTGCCGGCAGGAGGGGGGGGGGGGGG